GACTTTTACATATTTGGACTATAATGGTGTCTGCCAATTTTGGTCCAGATTGGCCTTTAGGGGGCGCTTTAGCACTCCAAAACACTTAAAAATCAATTTAAAATGCTATTACAATGTTATTACAAGGTCGACAGATAAACAAATGGTGCCATACGACTCAGGTCACTCACATGAACAACTTTGTAAGTACATGTTCTGTCACAAATTGTACTGTTTGTCTGGTATTTTGGCTTATTCATTCGAAGACTACATTATACAAAGGCTTATTATACAAAGGTCAAAAGGTCAATCTGACCAAAACTTTGTAAACATCTTTTGATATGGTCCCTGATCAAGAATCATAAAATATTGTGGCCTTTTCACTAATTCTGCCCCACTTTCACTGATACTTTACTTTAGTCCTATGTTTCTATTTTTCATCTTTATCAAATTTACTCATATTTTTGCCTGTAACTTTTGATCAGAGTGAGATAGAGACAAAAATTTTTCTTCTGATTTTTCTGCTGATTCTTTGGGACTTGCTGAACAAGGGCATCCCAGTCAACTTTTGCCCTGGCCCCTTAGTTTTTGAGCTAATTTGCATAATGTGAAAAACCTATTCTTGCGAACTAGTCTCAGGATTTTTTGCCAATTTTCATCAAATTAGTACCATAAGATTCAGAAGACACTCATCCTCAAGAATTATCAAAAACATTTTGACTGTTCCACTCAGTGTATTGAGGATCAACCAATTAATTACTGCAAACATGGCATTGCTAGCTTGATTTGCTATAACTCAACAGTCATTGGTCAGATCATCTCCAAACTTTATATATATTTACATATTTGGACTGTAATGGTGTCTGCCAATTTTGGTCCAGATTGGCCTTTAGGGGGTGCTTCAGCACTCAAAAACACTGAAAAATCAATTAAAATGCTATTACAATGTTATTACAAGGTTGACATATAAACGATTGGTGCCATGTGACTCAGTTCACTCACATGAACAACTTTCTAATTACATGTTATGTCAAAAATTGCACTGCTTGTCTTTTATTTTGGTTTATTCATTCAAAGATTTCACTGTACAAAGGCTTATTATACAAAGGTCAAAAGGTCAATCTGACCAAAACTTAGTGAACGTCTTTGGATATGGTCCCTGACCAAGAATGATACCATACTGTGGCCTTTTCACTAATTCTGACCCACTTTCACTGAGCTCCTCACACCAATAGGGCCTCTTATGAGTGCATTGGGCCTCATTATGGCCTACATCAAATCAATAGCTTAAATATAGAACCAATCCACTGTGGAAGTGCTACTATGTGACAAATGCTGCCATTAGTCATGTAGTTTTGACATCTATGATGACAACCTGTTAAATGTTCTACAAACCAGTGCAGATCAGTACATATTAATGTAAACCTATAATGTGTTTAAAGACCTCTACTCATTGTTTATGGCAACTGAAGGCCTTTTGATGAACAGACTTCCTATCAGTTCTGTTCACTCTGCCTATGAATAAGACCCATAGCATGAGGCCTTTTTAGGCCTAATGGGCTAAACGAGAGGCTTGAGGCCTTTTTAGGCCTAATGGGCTAAACCAAAAGCTTGAGGCCTTTTTAGGCCTAATGGGCTAAACCTGCAGAAGGGCCCATGCTGCTGTTGCATGCTTGAACCCGCTCATTGTCGCTTGCGGCTATATTTCAAATTAGATTTATGCTAACCCTCGGTACCATTGTCAGTAAACAAGGCATACATTTCCCTTGCTATGCTGATGAAACATAATTGTATATATTGGCCAAACCAGCTGATAAATTTGTTTGAGGACAGTACAGAAGACATAAAAAACTAAATGTTAAGTAACATTCTCCTATTCAGTAAAACAGAGGTTCTTCCTGGTGGAACAAATTAGATTAATTGGCAACAGGTCAGTAACATTACTGGGTATAAAAAGAGCATCCCAAAGAGACTGAGTCTTTCAGAAGTAAAGATTAGGAGGGGTTCACCACTCTGTGAAAGTCTAAAAAATTAACAATTTTCAATGTAAGATAGCAAAGAACTTTTTTTGATTTTGTTATCTACTGTGCGTTATATCATTAAAAGATTCAGAGAATCCAGAGAAATCTATGTATGCAAGGGACAAGACTGAAATACAAATATTGTTGGGCTATACTTATTAACTGGCCTTGATCTTCAGGGCCTCAGGTGGCACTGTATTAAAAACGGACAAGATTCTGCAGTGGAAATCACTGCATGGGCTCAGGAGCACTTCTGAAAACCACTGGGTGAACACAGTTCATCACTGCATCCACAAATGCAAGTTAAAACTTTACCATGCAAAGAAGAAACCAGATATAAACAGGATCCAGAAACGACGCCCACTTTTCTGGGTTCAAGCTCGTTTAAAATGGACTGAGGTGACATGTCCTGTAGTCAAATGAATCAAAATTTGAAATTCTTTTTGGAAATCATGAACGCCATGTCCTCCGGGCTAAAGACCACTCAGCTTGTTATCGGTGCACAGTTCAAAAGCCAGTATTCATGATGGCATGGGGGGGGGCATTAGTGCACATGGCATGGGTGACGTGCACATCTGTGAAGGCACCATTAATGCTGATCGATATTTGCAGGTTTTGGCAACATATACTGCCATCTAGACAACATCTTTTTCAGGCAAGGCCTTTATTATTTCAGCATGACAATGTTAAATCACATTCTGCATGTATTACAGCAGTAAAAGAGTAGTAAAGAGTCTGGGTGCTAAACTGGCAACATTTGGTGCATTATGAGACAAAAATGATATGTATAAAAAAAGACAGAACTCAAACTGTTGAGCAGCTGAAATCCTGTGTCAAACAAGAACGGGAAAACATTTCACTTTCAAAACTACAGCAGTGTCTCCTCAGTTCCCAAATGCTTACAGTGTTATAAAAGGAAGAGCTGATTAAGCAGAGTGGTAAACATTCCCCCATCCCAACTTTTCTGGAATGAGTTGCTGGCATCAAATCCCAAATAAGCACGTTTTTCAAAAAAAACAATAACATTTCTCAGTTTCAATATTTGATGTATTGCCTTTCTATTATTTTCGTTTAATATAAGATTTATGCACTTTTTACAGTGTATGTTCATGTTCATTTATGAGAAATGAAACAGATGAAAGATAAGCCAGGCTACAGATCAACTACACCATAACCAGTCTGTGCTGGTTTGGTAAAACATGACAGTGCTTTAGGTGTGGTTGTGACAGACACACTGGTTTGTTTTGGAACGTGTAACTACTGTTGTTAAAAAGAACGCAGAAGAATGCATAATCAAAGCATATTTTAATCCTTACTGATAAACAACCACATGATGTTCATACAGTGCTTTGTTTCAATGTTCATACTGATGCTGGTAAACAACAAAAGCCAAAAAAATGCTGTCAAACCACCTGACATATAAAAACGTCCCCTAGGCCTTTCCAAAATGACTGCAGAGGATATATAAGAGTTGGTACTATTGCTCATTTTTTCATCTGCAGCCGAACAAGGTGATATCTGCAGCCAGAGAAAGCACAGGTGAGCACTTGTCATGCAAATTCAAATTCATTTTGTGAATAAAACCACATAATCAAGGACAATTAATCTTTTCTATTGCTGATTACTCTGTCAGGTAGTAGAGAAAACACAAAACTACCCAAATGTTATGCTGACTTAGTTGAGTAAAAATACATTTATGAACCAAATTAACTGAAACTGCAGCTTTAAAAAATAAATAAAGATATAAAAAATAAAATAAAATAAATAAAAAAAAACAACAAAGCATCCAAATCTTAGATATGCAAGTATGTTACAATCTATTTAACTGAAGGCATGAAGAGATAGTAATGCACTAAATATATACAAAATCATCGCTTAGTGTGTGCAGGATTATTGTGTATCCATGTATTTTTTGTGTCAATATATTCTTTTATTAATTAACACAGCTGCTCCAGATTAATCTCTAAGTGGTCCCTAATTAATCTCTGATAAGTTCCTTAACTTCGATCTGCCGTTTTAACAAATTAAGTCACTTGTTTGCACACAGTAGTTGTTGGTGTTCACAATTATTAAGCAAAGCTTGAAAATGGACAAAAAGATCTTACAGTAGAAGAAAAGGTGAAAATAGTGAAAGCTGTATCTGAAAACATCTCAACACTGGAAATATCCAAATTAATCCAACATGATCATCAGAACAAACCAGTTCTGTAGATGGGAGACTTTTGACTGTTACTGAAAGGAAAAAATCCTACATAAGCAAACAGGTTGATGTATCTGAACATTGTATATTGGATTTGTGAAATTCACTGATGTGTAAATATTTCCATCTGGTTTGAAAACTCATAGTTTTATGTTTGCATAATTAACTGCAAATCTTGTTGAATTTCCACATGTACATTGTTTTTGCTCTGTCCGGCATAATAATTGTGAACAGTGATTTTTCTGTTGATGTTGAGTTTTGTAAATTAAAATAGGAGAATACACTAAATGTGTGACTGAACTCAGACAAAAGTATCAAAACACATTTTCTGCAATTAAACACACTTTTTTTGTGTTTTAATGAAAATTAAAACTGTAAAAATATTGAAAGCTATGTTTGTTAGTCGTGTACTGGTTGCTATTTTTGTGGTCTGCTCAAAACAAAATAAAATTGTCACTACTGAAATATGTGGTAAAGTTTGGGTAGAGTTATGATTGTTATGTTACTGACAAAATGGAATGTTCAATCATTCTAATTAAATAAACTTAAGGATGGTATAAGGTCACTCAAAGAAAAAAGAATTAGTTTAAATTCCAAGTCAGTTAAAAGTTCCCAGTGTGTTTTCAGATTTGGCTTTGAACTAAATCAGTAGAATGATCCATATGTTTGTGTGACGACAGAGAACTGAGGTTAATATTAATGTTAATGTTGATTTAGCTTTTTTTTGCCGAAGTCTAAAAAAATTGTCCTCTTTTGTTTATTTGTAGTCATTTGTTTTTGTGTTTTTTTAATTGACAGACAAGAATCCTCACAGCTATGGTGAGATAATCTAATCTTTACATGCCTCTTCAAGATCAGATTTCTTGTTAGATAGAAAAGTGTTAGACAAACATCTAAAACTGGCTTTGCTGTCATTTCCTTTCCATTTCTTCTGCTTTCAGCTGCTGCTGTTTGTAGCACTCCCCCTGCTGGTGCAGTCCCACCCTGTCTATAAGGAGTTCCTACCTCTGGACTGTGAGGACATTTTCAACAATGGATCCAGCCACAGTGGTGTCTACACCATCTACCCAAAGGGTCCTGAGAAACCAGTGCAGGTTTACTGCGATATGGGCTGTGACGAGTACGACAGCCACAAGGACGGGAAATGGACGGTGAGTGAAACTATTAAATGTTCAAAACTAACTGCGCATACAGTGTGTTGGTGTGACGGCACATGTTTGTAAAAGAATGTAAAAGAATGCTCTGGTAACTATCTACTGTACAATCCAACCCCCAGGTGATTCAGAGGAGAATAGATGGCAGTGTGAATTTCTACAGAACGTGGGAGCAGTACAAGAACGGCTTTGGGAACATAAGTGGAGAATACTGGCTGGGTGAGGCACAGCATGGCATTTTTATCTTGAGCATAGTTTATGCTAATGATAGTGTAGCTAGAAAGAGACTGAAATATGATGTGAAATCATGGCAAAGTATAATAAAACAACGGAATTATTATATGAAATACTACCGTATTGCCATGTAGCCTCTTCCCATAGGCCCCCTAGTGGCCATTCCAATAGTGGGATAAAAATCATCTCAGACATTTATTATTAATTAGTATAATCAAATAAAGTGTTTCTCCCCATAACTCTGTTATCAGACGAACTAGGACACTGTCGTCTCTGTGTGAAATGTGATTCTGTGTTGAGCTGCTAGTGAGCAATGAGGAGTGAAAAGGGAGGGGTGAGAACCCTCTGCTGTGAAAAACTATTCATACCTCTCCACAAAGACATCTATGCAGAGATAAAACAGAAAATTGCAGCTTTCCTCATAAACAATCCTGTACAACTGACACAATAAGCAAACAGCATGTAAACACAATAAAACAATCTTACTGAAGAAAAAAATGCCTAATTCAATAGAACATTGTGAAAAGGAGTTAAGCCCTATCCTTACTTATATCAGTCAGAATGTGTTGGGTATTGTTGGAGAGCCCTTTGTTAGTATATCTTTCAAACTGCAGGTCTGGAGAATATGTTTCTGATGACATATGCAAATAAATACGAGTTGAGAGTGGACATGGAGGATTTTGAGGGTGGCAGTGCCTATGCCCAGTACTCTTCTTTCTCCGTTGATACAGAGGCCTTAAGATACAGGCTTCACATCAAAGGCTACATCAATGGAGGCGCAGGTGAGTAAAAAATTTCAACATTTCTGTCTTCTGTTTTACCTGTGAATGGCAAGCCATCCTGGCCCAGACGCAGCAAAACAGCCCCAAACCATGATACTACCACCACCGTGTTTCACAGATGGAATAAGGTTTTTAAGCTGGAATACAGTGTTTTCCTTTTTCTAAACATAACGCTTCTCATTTAAACAAAAAAAAACTATGTTGGTCTTATCCACAAAACATTGTTCCAACAGCCTTCTGGCTTGTCCATGTGATCTTTAGCAAACTGCAGATGGGCAGCAGTGTTCTTTTTGGCCACTGTGATTCAGGCCTTTAGTTGCTTAGAAGTTACCCTGGGTTCCTTTGCGAACTTGCAGACTATCACCTGCTCTTAGTGTGATCTTTGTTGGTCAACCGCTCCTGGGGAGTGTAATAGTGGTCTCGATTTTCCTCCATTTGTACACAATCTGTCTGACTGGATTGTTGGAGCCCAAACTCTTTAGAGGTGGTTTTGTAACCTTTTCCAGCCTGATGAGCATCAATAGCTCTTCATCTGAGGTCCTCAGAAATCTTCTTTGCTTGTGCCATGATACACTTCCTCAAACTTTGCCATTTACAGATATGTGATACTGAATCGTTTTCCTCAGTAAATTAATGATGAATGTCTAATTTTTTTTTTCTCGTTTGTTTTCATTTGGTTCATTTTATCTACTATTAGGACTTGTGTGAAAATATGATGAAGGTTTAGGTGAAATTTATGCAAATTCAAAAAAAATTCTAAAGGGTTCACAAACTTTCACACACCACTGTACGCTATTATAACTGCGGTTCTTGGGAATGCAGAGAATTATGGTTGATTCTTCAGGAACCAGTAAGGGTGCATCAACAATTACATCCTTGACTGAATGGTTGTGTACAGAACCCCACAAATCTGTAAAGCTGATGCTCCTTTTTGCACAAGCAATCCAACAGTATTCTTAAAAATTTATCATTAAACATGTAAAAAGGTGATTTTTTTTTTTTTGCAGGTGACTGCTTGTCCTACAGTGGTGAGAGAGATTTTGCAACCTTTGACAGAGACATCTATAGCTGTGCAGACACTTACTCTGGTGGGTTCTGGTACGGCTACTGGACATGTCACCTTGCGAACCCCAATGGCCAGTACAAACGGGGGAATGTGGGAAGCGCATATACAGGAGTTATGTGGAGCTGCTGGAGAGGTTACTATTACTCCCTGAAGACCATCGTGATGAAGATCCGCCGGGTGTCTCTGGAAGAGCTTGAAGGGTAGATATATCTGCCCAGACAGAGAACCCAGATTTAGAAGGCCAGGGTTTCACTTAAGGAATATATACCTTTGCTGTCCAAAAGTACTTTATAAGAATTTTCACATCTGTTAATTTGACACTATTTTCATAATCAGTGCAGCCAAGGCTGCTATGCATTATATTATCTGTGGGTTTCTTGTATGATTCCAAATACAGTTGTTTACTGCAGACTGCCACAACCATTGTTTGCTTCTTTTGAGTAGACAATTAACTATGTACAGGGGATTGTGGGCTACAAAATGTGTGTTAATTACATTTTTGATGAAGGTAATCACTTATGATCTACTTTTTAATATGTACTTTTGCTTGTACTTGTGCTGGATTGTGCTCCAATTATAATATAATATGAATTAAAATCAAATCTGTAATATTTGCAAACTGGCACTAATGTATCTAATTTACAAATCAGTAAATGAATAAAGATAAAGCTAAAAGCTTTAGTTTATTATGGATTTTGTCATTTTGCTGTATCTCTGCAGGCGTTTGTTTTGTATAACCTCTCTTCATCTGTCCCTTACAATTCCTGGTGAATGTTAACACCGAACAGATTTCCGAGCAAAGTTCAAGTGATTATGCCCAGCTAATGTTGTTTATCCACTCACACCAAGGCTGTCACGATTACTCAATCAAAATCAAAATAAAGAATTATCAATTATCATTAACATTAAAGATTAATATGATAATTGCAGGCTATTTTAAAGTCATGTTTAGCAGATCCTCCACCAGGGAGAGCTATCAGCATTCAAAGTGCAATTTTTCTCTGAGAGGAAATCCACACCAGCAGAGACTCACAAAAGCATATATGTTCATAGTTACAAATTATGTGTATATGGGGTTGTTTTTTTTATACATATTTTGTTATTTTAGCTGCTTGAAGTGCCAATGAAAGTGAAATTACCTCAGTAGATGAACGTAAATCTCTTTCAGACTTTACCCGGACTTTGTTCTTATTGGTTCATGAGCTGATATGTCTATAATTAATTTTTACTCTGTAACATAATAATAAATTAAAGAAGCGAAGTATTTAATTAAAAATTAACTCGAGTAAAAGGACTATGATTTTACTCCAATCAGTACCGTTACAGAGAAAAACATAATGAAGTACAGTAACGAGAGTAAGTGTAATTCATTACTTACATCTTTGGTTTTATAAACATTAGATTATGAAAAGGTACGAATAGGCACCTTTTCTCTGGGGAAAAAAACTTATTTAAGGTACACAGTTGGACCTTAAGACTACTGTTGTAACTTTGAGGGTACATGTACATTGTCTGTGCCTTGATGAATAAAAATGTACGTGCACAGCACCTTTTTTAGGATAGTGCTCTTACAATGCCTTAATTCTAGTGCTCATTTCCCATTCGGTCCTCAACTGACAGCTCTGTGTTTTATATTCTTTGGTTTTGCTGTCATATTAAAGAGGCAGGACTCATCTTTAAAAAGAACTTGGTTGGATGATTAGGGTGAGTGGAGCGGCCAGCTGGCTGGCTTGCGGAACAAGCAGCAAGTGGGAGGGGCCACATTACCAGCTCTTACGCCCACAGAGGAAAGATGGCACCTGGCACCACCAGAATGGGGCTGGTGCACATGGTGTTTCGAGAGAGTGGGAAGAATCTCTGTTGCTGCTGTCTGCTCCCGGAGGACTCAGATGAGGATGACGACAGTGTGGAGTTGGTCTTCGGGTCTGGGGAGGTCGACATCCTTGCGTCACGACCCGCCCACTACATCCCAACCCTTGTGAGCGCCATGCTTCTTCCTCTGGAGAACAAGGAGCGACGCACAGTGGAAGCCCCTGCCCCCCTCTTCCTGGACCTCGTGTCTCCCTCTCCCTCCCGCCTGTGCTTGGCTTCTCCCCTTCTCTCTTCCCCTGCGCCCTGCTGGACGAGCCAGTGTGGTCTGAGTCCTGCTCCCTCCCGTCATGTCCCTGGCCTGCACCTGTTCCCGAGTCCCGCCGTTTCTCTCGCATTTCTCTCGCGGAGTGAGGAGGTGGGCTTGGAGAGGGCAGGCCCATTAAGGAGGAGGAGGACTCTCCATGGACAGAGTTGCTGCTACGACCTGATGCCTGGGTACTGTCTGGTGTCCCAGAGGACACCTTGGAGCCGCTGCCAGGGTCGACATTGCTTCCTGGTGTCCTGGAGGACACCCTAGAGCCGCCATCGACGACAGCACCGCCTGGTGTCTTGGAGGGCACTTTAGAGTCATTTCCAGTGTCGACAGTGCCTCCTGGACATGCCACGATCCTAGAGCCTCCTCCCATGCTGACAACACCGCCAGGCGCCCACAGGAGGGCATCCTGAAGCAGCTGCCATTGACAGAGCTGTACTATACTAGACCCGTCCACTGTGGAATATGGACATGGGGTCCATCTCAGGCACTTCAGTGTAACAGTCTGGACAATATGACGCAGGTGTACATAGACTCAGTAAAATAAATGACAGTACACTCCTGTTTCTCCTGAAGGTCAATTTGCATATGTTTCCACTGCAGTAAATCCTGTTACATGGTCTATCAGCGCCCTCTAGTGGACATAGTGTGTACAGTAGTGTGTACAGTAGTGTGTAGAGTATTAGGTCTGTTCCAAATGAAAAAACACCGTTGCCAATCATTATGGATTTTTAAATGACTAGCTCACTGCTTATCTACAGTGGATCAACCCTGAAAGCAAGCAGCTAGGTTATAAAGTAAAATAATTTAGATATTTTGAATGTCTAAGCCACAGAGCAGATGTCATTCGTTTTTAGAAATTACAAACAAATCTAAATCTCAGTGTGTTATACAGACCTACACATCAGTTAGAAGTCTTAGCCATTGATAGAAGCTATGAAAAAATTCAGCGCACAATATAAACTTTGTTTGCATGGTTATTAAGCTGTATTATGCTTGTAAATTTTAAAATGTAACATGGCTTTCCATTTTAAATCATTGGCCAAAAAACCCAACTCCAAAAAAGTTGAGATAGTATGTGTAATGCTAATAAAACCAGAAAACAGTGACCGATAAATTCTGATCGAACTGTATTAAATAGTAAATGGTACAAACACACAATATTTAATGTTTTACCTTAGAAACTTTACACTGCTAACAGTCTGGATGGTGCTTTTCTTCTTTGCTTTGGAGAACAAAACATCTGTTATTTCCATAGACAATCGTAAAGTTGACGCATCAGACAACAACACGCTTCCTGTGAGCATCAGTCCATTTCAGATGAGCTTGAGTTAAACTGTACGACTTTTTGAGCCTCAACCCATCCTTGCTTTCTATACCCAAGCATGATTGCATCACCTGTTTATTTAAGTGTTAAGTCGTATGTATTTCTAGTCTTAAATTGCCTCCGTCCCAACTTTTTTGGAACATGTTTCAGGCATCAGTTTAAGAATGAGCGTATGTTTACAAAGAGCAATGAAGTTGATAAGCTAAAACACTACATATCTTGTCTTTGTACTGTTTTGATTTAAATACAGATCAAAATAGATTTATAAATCATTGCCTTCTGTTTTTAGTTGCATTCTACCTATTGTTACAACATTTATGGAATTGGGTTTGTATTTCTCATACGCTTTACTGTCCTAGGAAGCAAAAGAAAGCACTACACATAAAAATAAAACAAATACAGGAAGCATGTACTGTTTCAGTAAAGATATGAACATGTTGGTTAGAAGAACGCCAATAGAGAAACACAGGTTTGGTTCTTGGTTCTCGCTGCACTCCAGCCATCACGTGGCTTTGCTCAGTTCCATCAAAACCACACTAAGTACACAGTAAACTGTAAATCTACACTGTAACCTCGAAATGCCTCTGAGCTAAAAATTCAGTTACGGAGGCTTTTTGACCACAGATATTCTCAAAAGCCATTAATGCTAATTTCCTTTAAAGTTTCCTGAATAAGGAGAGTTAACGTCACCATAATCAACATAGCAGCATGACTTATTCATGGTTTAGTGGTTTAGTTTTTTAGTGTTGCAATAACAAGTATAATATCCAGAATCCATAAATAGTAAAACGGTAAATAATGCGATGATGCATGATGGACCAAATCTCCACTGATACAAAGACTCTCCAAGGTGCTGAACCACAGCCAGCAGACCCTGTTCATCATCCATGTTTTGGGACAATTACTATAACGTAAATCATAGATGGCAGCTAAATGGCTCATACTTGCAAAACAGCCTCAAACCATGCACATTAATAAGTCAGTGTCATAATTATGATGCACATAAACTATGTTAGAATAATTTAAGAAATTGGAGTTCGGTATAGTGCAGCAAAAGTTCAGTTATTCATATTTCATTAAATATTCGTTTTTTGCCCATTCTCACCCTCATTTTTATGTATCTTTTTATCAAGTTTTTTTGTTTCACTTTTTTTAATAATAAAAAAAAAGCTTCTATTACTTTCAACTGTCAAATTCTTTGACTTTAAGACTTTACTTGCAAACTCAACAGAAGTGAACCAGAACAGTGGAAACAGTGATTGTAGTTTTAATCCGATATTTGCACAACAAACCTAAGAAACACTACATGAGTTCACTTTAATCTGATATGTGAGCTAATTTTCTGAAGTGCTGACTAGGGGAAAAACTGGACGCTGCTTGAATTTAAGTAATGTGACAATTTCAAACTGACAGTTGTTATCAGCATCTGCATTCCGGAGACCATACAGTTCTCCAGGCAGAGATGAACAGGTACACGCACAGTGAGATCTCTGTGTGACCTGTCTATCACGGTATATCATGTATTTGTCACATCCACAATTGCACCTTCAGCTGCAGGACCAGCGAATGGCCACAAGATGTCCCACTGATCTGAATACTGAACTGTTGACATGGTTATGGTTGTCAGTTTCTGATGGATTAACACACCTGTGTTAAGTTTCCTATATAGCACTCCTCTTTGTTGTGAAATCTTGCCAGATTCTCTGCTGCATTTCTGAGCCTTAGAGTTTTTCTGCTTCAATCATGCTTTCA